AATTAACGTGGCGTCTTCTTTTCTCCTCTGGTCCTCACATGACGATTCTCCAGCCGTCCTTCTCTCCAACCTGCCCAGGGGCACGGGCACTACTAGACACAAACCGTCTCCAAAGCGGAGATACCAATGTTCTTCTCTTTCCCCTAAGTCGCCATGTCTGGAGCTGCGGATCGGTCTCTCCCGAGTTCCCTAATAGTTTCGAGCCAGGATTGGCCGCGGGTAAGTGAACCAGCCAATGGTGTCGAGCCTTGTTTCTCAGCAGTTGCTAGGTAGAATACACGGAAATAACCTTTTGAGATGATGGGGTCTTTTTATTTACCTTTTCTTTGTTCAAAAGCAAGATTCTCTGTCTTTCCCTTTCTCTCTTTTTCTCGTTGTTTCTTTCTCTTTCTGTCTGTCTCTGTCTCTCTCTCTCTCAAGCTTTGAGATTCACCGAGGTTGCTGGCTTTGCTGGTATCCACTAAGAGATGCCTCTCCATGTACACGGTGATTTTGCTGGGGAGGAAACATGAGGAGGAAAACATAAACCGCCCTGTTTCCAAAGCCAGACGACTCTTGTTCAAGTTGCTGGGTTTGAGGTTGGGCCCGGAGCACGGAAGGGCTTGGGGGAAGCAGGCATGGCTGGAGAGGGAGGGATAGCAAAGAAAAGGAGATAGCAGTTGCACTAGCTGTTACGAAGGCTTTGTCATTCATTCCAGAGCTATTGGATAAGAGGTGCTGAGGATACTGAGTGAGCAGCAAAATCCCTTTTCCTCAGGGAGATGGCATTCTGGTGGGGGCAGAAGGTGGAAGTGAGCAAAGACTTTCTAGCTGCCTTTTACCTTCTAGAAAGTAGGTGGTCAGGTTAGGTACAATGGCCACACACACACACACACCGGCACATATACCATCCTCCCGCAAACTTAATCCCTCTCCCAAAGGCTCCAGTCTTGTAATTGTAAAGATATCTTCCAGAATAATCTTCCCGACGTGCCCGGTTGTGAATATCCTCCTCAAGTGACTAAATGCTTAGTCTGGAGGCCTCCAATCCCTTTCCGATTCAATTCCAAGCTTTGCATTAATACACTAGCAACGGCTCCACAGTGGCCTTGCGTCACAACGTTGCACTTCCTGTGGCCAGTGCTCCCTTTCTGCTGCCATGACTTTCACTTGAATTGTTTGCTCCATCTCTGCCCTTGAAATCCTGCCCAGCCTTCGTGCCTACTTCCTCTGAGCACAACTCAGTGCTCCTGCCTGAAGTGTTCTCAGCCTCTTCTGACACCTACATCTTTTGCTGTTCTCATGTCCTGTCTTCTATTATTGTGATCCAGGCATCAACTGTGTCTTTGCTGTGGCTAGAGTACCTGCTCCTCAGGACAGACCTCTGGAGCATGTGATTCCTCTCTCCTTATAGGGCCCAGGCATAAGCTCTGCCCTCAGCTGTTGTTCAGTGACTGAGTGACGTGCTAAGGGTAAGGTCATTCCCACCACAGCGTGGCCCAGTTCCTGGAATTATTCAGCAGTAGAGTCCCAGAGAGAGGTAGCAGCAGGATTAAGCCACTCTAGGTCAGAAGTTCAAGGACCAGGAAGGAAGATCCAGTAGGTTCCTTCTGCAGAGAAAGCTCTTTGATGAGAATAAGATAGAGAAAACCTTAAGAACTGTTTAACTATTTTTTCCATTGGACTGACCCTTAAACTATCTCTTTCTCATACAGCAGTCTCACTCATCACCTGATGTTTCTGGATTATAATTAAAATAGCATTTTGGGTTGAGTAGCTAATGAGGGTAAATACATCTGTATTAGAACTTTCCAACCAGGACTGGGCAGCTGTTGAGAAGAGGCAGAAGTGAAGAATACAAGAGTCTAAGAGCATGACCAGCCAGGATGAGATCCAGCTTTATATTTTTTACCTGAAGAAATAAGGCCCAGGGCTTTGGAAGCAGCCCTTGTGTCAGAAGCATCCAGCTAAGCCAGGCCTGAGCCTCTGCCAAAGTTGATCTGAGCAGGAGGGAAACCCTGTGTTCTTAGAAGGAAGAGGATCAGTTGATCACGGGGTGACTTATCAAGAAACCAGGTTCTCCTGGGGTGTGCCCAGTTAGGCAGTAATGACCTAATCCAATCATGCTCTGCAGTGGGAGAGATAAAGAGACAGGAGGGGTGACTTCAGCAAGGTTCCCTATGGACCTGCCAACCCTGGAAGAACCAGTACACAAGGTGAGCTCCAATTCCCTTTTGCTTTGCAATAAACTAGTCTTTGGAGGTCATATGGGTGTGTCGTCTCCAGCTATGGAGTACTCTGAGGGGAAGCCCAGGCATCTTGGCACACAGAAAATCCATTCCTACTCTGCCCTGTTCAAATTCTAGATTCCTGACTCACAGAATCATTGAGCATATTATAATGGTCGTGTAAGCTTCTAAATATTAGGACTGCAGCAATATTAACTGGTACATTTACCTTACCTCAAGAGAACACATTTTTTCAAAGAGAAGAAATGATACTGGGCTTCTCAAAGAACTGAGCATGAGAAGATTACCTGAACTCTCCTTTTGGAGCCTCCTCTCTGCTCATCTGCTTTGGTGTTCTCCACAATCCACCATCCTTTAGTCCGCACCACAAATGGAAGATTTCTTCCCACAGCTCCCATGCACATCTGCTACAGGTGGTGTAACTGGTCACATGTCACTTGCCCTGGGCCTAGCCTGGGTCAGGTGTCCATCCCAGACCTAGTCCATGTGGTGAGGCTGTAGGGCCATGTGATATGCACATGTATGGAAGACAAGAGGTCACTAATGCTAAATGAATATGGTGCGGGGGGGGGCAGAGACACCTTGAAAGGCATTCACTATATTCTCAGAGGCAGAGCCCTTAGAACAGATGCTGTTGATGCCCCATCCCATATTCTCTTGGCCTATCACAGTTTGCCAATAGCTGAGGCACAGTTCCCCGCAAGGGTAATAACCTTCCCATCTCCCTTCTCCTTTGCCTGAGAGCTTTATCATGTCAGGGATAGTTGCTTTTCTGCAGTTACATAGCCCAATCTTAAAGTACATTAGAATTAACACTCCCAGGCCAAACTTCAACCAATTCAAGCAAAGAAGGATGGGAAGTATAAAGTCCCACGCCCTGTAATCCTTAGGAAGATCCTGAGCTGTATCACACATTTCATATGGTTTCTTAGAGAGTCCTAAAAGTGACTGAGCCAAGATATCCACATGGTAATGGACTCGTGAGTGAACCCTTTATTCCCATTTCTCCTGTAACTGGCTTTCTTCCATTTCTCAATTTATTTCTGCACTTGTGTTTCCTGGGATCACTTCTGAGATAAGTGTGGTGAGTTGAATAGCACTCCCCCCGCCGTTCAATCCACTATGAAATTTATGAATTGAATGTATAACATGGCAAAACGGATTTTACACAGAATTAAGGTTATGGACCTTAAAATAGATTATTCTCAATTGTTTGGGCAGACTCAGACTAATCAAAGGAGTCTTTAAAAGTAAAAGGCAGACTCAGCGAGGTGACCCTCACACCTATAACCCCAGGACTTTTGGAGACCAAGGTGGGCAGATTGTTTGAGCTCAGGAGTTTGAGACCAGCCCGGGCAACATGGGGAGACCCTGTCTCTACAAAAAAAAAAAAAAAAAAAAAAAAAACCAGGGCAAGGGGAAATGGGCCTAGGGTTCCGGCTACTTGGAAAGCTGAAGGGGGTAGATTGCTTGAGGCCAGGGGACAAAGTTTGCGATGAGCCGAGATCACGCCACTGCACTCCAGCCTGGGTGACAGAGTGAATCCCCGTCAATGAAAAAAAAAAAAAGAAAGAAAACACAGGAGAAGGTAAAGGAATCAAAGAGACACAATGGAGAAAAAGAACTAGGAGATGAGCCTCAGCACACTGTCGCTGCTGTGAAGATGGAGGAGGGGATCTGGGAGCCAGGGTGTGGTAGCCTCTAGAAGTGAGCACAGCACTTAGCTGTCAACCATGAAACAACTGGGACCTCAGGCCTATAAATGAAAGGAACTGCTTCTGCCAACAATCCGAATAAGCAAGGAAACAGATTCTTCCTTAAGACACTCCAGAAATGAATCTAGCCTGCAGCCACCTTGATTTTAGCCTGGTGAGATCCCTGTGGGACTTCTCACATACAGAACTGTGAGATCATAAATTTGTGTTGCTTTAAGTCTATGAATTTATGGTAATTCAGATGGCAGCAATAGAAAATGCAAAAGGTGCCGGGCGCGGTGGCTCACGCCTGTAGTCCCAGCACTTTGGGAGGCCGAGGCGGGTGGATCACGAGGTCAAGAGATCGAGACCATCCTGGTCAACACGGTGAAACCCCGTCTCTACTAAAAATACAAAACATTAGCTGGGCATGGTGGTGCGTGCCTGTAATCCCAGCTACTCAGGAGGCTGAGGCAGGAGAATTGCCTGAACCCGGGAGGCGGAGGTTGCGGTGAGCCGAGATCGCGCCATTGCACTCCAGCCTGGGTAACAAGAGGGAAACTCCGTCTCAAAAAAAAAAAAAAAGAAAATGCAAAAGGTTTCTGTGAAAATGCTGCAGTGAGATAAACTGAAACTGGTGAGTACAGTGAGTGTGTAGCCTACTCTACTGCGTTGTGTAGATACCAGAATTGAGTCGATACTGTGTTGAGTAGATACCAGAGTCTAGAAAAAGCCAAGATGAACAGTAAGCATTATTAACAAATTTATTGATCAAGACTTGACAAGCACATGCCACATAGAGGGGATACAGTGGGGAGCAATAGCAGTCATGATAATGAGGAGCAGTTTCCCTAGGAGGCAACAGTTGAAAGGAATATGGGTTTAACACCGACCAATGACGAGGGGTGGACAGACCCCTTTCCAGGAGAGCAAGTCCACAGCAGGATTAAAGACATCCCTGTAGTTCTAGTTTCCTTCATCTACATTTCCTGCATCACAGAGAATCTTCAGGGTATTTGCTCTGCCTGGAAACCCTGACTGCAGGAAGCCTGGCTCTGGCTACATGGTCACTCAGCAGTCGTTGGGTCGGCACACCTGTGCGCCATTATTTGAGTGTGGCCTCAAGTCTTCCAAGTCACGTGTCACGTGGGTACCGTGAGGTTATTCTCTCAACCAAGACACTCGGCAGAGCTAATCCAAGGAGTGCTGGGTCTAAGGCTCTGACCATCAGCTGGGAAGGAGTCAATAGGGGTGTCAACCCACAACCACCTACAGTGATCCCCACCCTGGAGCTGTCCTGGGAAGGGAACCTCAGGGCTACAGGTGGGTTCTTCCCATGGGGGAAGAATCAGGCTAGAAAAGAATGGGCAAGTGGCCAGGGACTGAGGCTGAACGTCTCCCAACTGCACAAATTACCGTATGAGTTATGCAGGTTACTTAATGTCACCCTGCCTCAGCTTCCATACTCATAAAATGAGACTACCTGACAGAGTGCTGTGAGGATTAAAGGAGTAACAGCCACCAAAGCTCATAACACGGCAGTCAGAACATTTAAAATTCTCTACTAATGTTAGTCATTGATGAATAGATCCCAGCTCTGTTGTTCACTAGTCATGTCTACTTTGTAAAGCGAATTCACTTTTCTGCACCCCAGTTTCCTTATCTGTATAAGGGGACAATAAGTGGTACCAAACCCAAACAACTATCGTATGAATAATTGAATGAGTATCATCAGTAAAGTGCTTCAGTGTATGTCTGCAGTCTTATGCCTCTGCTTGGTTGCTGTGAAGGGGGAGGCTGTCAGCTCCAGGCTGGGCAGGGAGAAGCAGGGACGTTACTTCGGCCTGAGGCTCCCCACTTTGGTTAGCTAAGCCCGGGGCCACTGGTGTCTCTAGAGGATGATCAGGTGCAACTAGGTCGGGATCCGGGGAACTCTCTACTCCTTTTGGCGCTGGGCAAATGGTCAGGGCAGTGGGTTCCAAGGTCAAAATTCTGAAAACAGGATACAGAGGCTCAGAGAAGGAGGTGTGCGGGAAGGTGTAGATATGAGATCCGTCCACCGCATTGTAGAATGAGACATCTCCAGTCTCATAGTCCAGGAAGACCCCCACTTTCCTGGGGGACTCAGGAAGTGTCAGGTTGGTTCTGGGCTCAGTGAGAGCCCGATACTTATTCCCATCAGTCAGTCCCATAGTCCAGTATCCGTTCTCAGGTGTCATTTTGACCCAACCTTTTTTCCTCTCCACGTTCTTACTGCACACCCCAATATGCCACTCTTTCCTGTCCCCCACCTCCACCTCCCAGTAATGTCTCCCTGAGGTGAAGCTTCCACAGCCGAGAACACAGTAACGCCACTCAAATCTCTCAGGGTTGTCTGGCATATCCCGGGGCTCCTCAGCACGCTGCACAGTCCTCTGGTCCTCAGAAACAAGGAGGATGGGGTTTGCCGTGTCTGGATCCAGAATCACATCCGCTGCAGGGAGTTTGAGGAAGTGTCCATGGGTCAGCCATTTTTCCTGGATTTCAGAGCCTCAGCGTGCAAGGCCTGTGCCATGAATCCTCCTGGACTCAGAGGAGGCCTGAGTCCAGAGCCTGGTGTCCCTAGCCTGCCCTGAATGTGATTTTCTCATCAATGTCATGGGAGAAAGCCCCAGGGGTCTTGTGTTCAGAGGAAAAATGAAAGTAAGGTCAGTACCTGCTTAATCCAACACCCTGACGCAGCCTCAGGAAGCAACAAGTCTCTTCTTTCTATGCTTTAAGAAAATTAACTCTGCCCACGAATGCTTTGTACTGAGAGGTTAATTTTCAGTCTCTACCACGTATGAGCTAAATGAGTTCCCCTTTTCTGCAGTCTATTTTTCCATACATCCTATTTATTTAACAAGGTGGAGCCTCATCTGAAGCATTTCCTCATCCAAAAAATGGGGATAAAAATACAAATCTCTAGCATTGTACAAGGTAATCATGTGACTTACTCAGCCCACAGCAGAGCATGAAGGACATTCCTGAAGTTCTAGTAGCTGCAAGGCCGGGTCTGTGCTGGGCTCTATGGGGGGCTTAGATGCCCCAGGTTCACTCTCCACCCTGCAGCTTTCCCCA